CTTAATTTTTTTTTAATAATATGCACAGCACATTTTTTTTTATTGAAAATCAATGTCTCACTTTATAAAAATTCTAGAACGCCTTTTTAAAAACTGTTGTATTGAAAAAATCCTCTAGGATGTTGATTTTGCCAGTGGAAAATATGTATTCTAAACTCTATTTTCATAAAAAATTTTTATAATTTTAATTTAATTATATTTTTTTTATTTCAGTTTAATAAACTTAATTTTTTTTTCATCGAAGGAAAGAAGAAAGCATGAATGCTACTAACATGCCATTTCCTGGCAACTCATAGTTAGTTATGTGTTTTACCACAAAAACCTCCTCCTTATATTCTGATACTGGTCACCTTACACCGAACATCAATCTTCTTTCATATAGATTGAAAGAGATTCAACGCTCTCCAACGCATTTTGCGTTAAATCTGAAGGCAAAGTCCTGCTTGGCTTTCTGAGAGAATCGCGCATAACAAGGAGCCGAGAGGCCTTTATGTTGATATGTTGCTCCAGGCGAGCTCTATGTCTCACCGCCTTTTCTTTAATTTCGTCAACTACACATGGAATCTTTGGATCTCTGTGCAAATCTCCATTTCGCGCATACCAAGGGGCATCTATCATATTCTGCAAAACCCTCTTCTGGAAAATTTGTATTCGGTGAACATGTATTTGTTTGGCACATCCCCACAATTGGGTACCATACAAACAAACCGGTTTACTATTTGTGTTATAGAGCAGGATCTTATTCTGTATCGGTAACTTTGACTTGCGATCTAGGAGCCATTCAAATATTTTAATATTTTAATTGAAATTCTGCCTTTTCTTCTTAACATGTTCCTTCAATTTTAGTTTAACATCCAGTGTCATTCCTATATATTTTGCCGCATTTTCCTTTACAATATTAACCCCATTTATTTTAACACGTGGGGGGTTCACAAGAACTTTATTTGTAAAATTTACTTGTGCAGACTTAGTTTCATTTACTTTTATTTTTCATTTCTTGGTCCAAGCACCAAAACTATTACTGGCCTGATACAACTTTCTTGTGGCGCCGTCAATATTTGATGCTATTGCCATAATTGCAGCATCGTGAGCATATGTAGCCACAAATGTGTTTTCTATTTGAGGCACATCTATTTTAAAGAGTAGATATAGTATTTGACTCAAAATACTGCCCTGAGGCACACCTGCTCTTGTTTCTAAGTGTGGAATAGTCCCCCTCCTGTTTGACTCTGAATAATCTGTCGGTTAGATAAGAAAAGAGAATATCTACATATTGATTTGGTAATATTTTTTCTAACTTGTGTAATAATCCTTCGTGCCAAACCTTGTCAAAAGGCTGTGCCACGTCTACAAAAATTCTTGCACAAATTTGCTTTTCCTCTAGGGCTTGCGCAATAATATTTGTAATTCTATGAATTTGATCAGCAGTTGAATATCCTTCTCTATAACCAAATTGGTGGTTCGGAATTAATGACCTATCCTCAATTATAGGCCTCATTCTTTTTGGTAATAACTTTTCAAAAAGTTTTGGCAAAATTGGTAGCAGAAAAATTGGCCTATAACACCCTATGGTTTCATTTAAATTCATTAAAAAAGTCAACATTGTTATGCCCTTTTTTGGAATTTCTTCAGTATCTCAGAGATAATTAAATCATAATCGGGTGCTTTCCTTGACATTAAACTTTTTATTTCTTTCACTATTTCTCTTTGTGCAAATGGATCTCACATTTCCCATTGCAATATTTATGTTTGAGTGTATGTAATTAGGTCTAAAACTTTGTTCAAGATGATCTACAAATGTTTCAGGCGTATCCTTATTTTCTATTGCCCATTTTCCATCCGTTCTAATAATAGGGGGGATATGTAAAATTGGCTTTTTAATATTTTTTGTAGTCTTCCATAAGGAATAATTACTTTCTTGCTCGACTGACAAATTTTTAATGCAATTATCAAATTAATCTTCTTTGATTTTTCTTATTTTTCTTTTTAGATTCTGAATGAGTTGATTGTGTGCAGTTTTATCTGGCGGATCTCGTGAGTTTTGCTATTTGCGTCTAGCTCTTCTCCTTTCGCTTATCATATTCAGTATTTCTCTTGGATAAGTCATACCCACGTTTTTATACTCAAATTGTTTTGTATTATTCCAGGCAGCGCTTTGTATGATTTTATTAAAATTCTCTACCTCAGAATCCAAATCATCTTGGGCCCGTATTTTAATTCTTAAGTTTATTTTACTCTCCATCTCTTCTTCAAAACTAGTCCAGTCATTGGATTTATTAATCAACATGGGCTTATTTTGTTTTTTGGTAACTGTCTCAGTTAAGTTTAATATAACTGCAGAATGATCCGAATCCAAATCAAAGTCATCTTCTAAACCAATTAGCTTTCAAATTCGACGGGATTTTCTCTTTCAGTTAACTTTTCGTTCAGAAAACTTATAATGAAAATAGACAAAAATAATAATTTTTCCAAAAAAAAAAGCAAAAAGCACACTGATGTTGTCAGCATATATCCGACCGCTACATATGTTGTCTAGTTTACCAAAATCGTTGCACAAGATTGTGAAAATGCTTTTCGAACACTTGCTTCCAATTTTACAGAAGTTAGTAAGCTCTTAGTTAACATAACTAACAAAACATAGATTCAGCTCTCAGTAGTATTTCGTTTTATGTTATCCAAATTCTTCGGAAGGTTCCTAAGTGTCTACAGGTACAAAAAAAAACGTAAAATCGTAAAAGTTGAGTTTCCGGCAATATCAGATTCCCAAAAGAATTATAAGCTCATTGTTTTCACACCCAGAGTTTGAATATTAAATTTCAAGGAAATTGGTTGATTATTTCTCTTATATGCGTGTAGTATAAATATGGGGGTTCTGGCTTTTCAGGCGCAAGTCGCAAAAATTTTTCTAAAATTTGTATGTAATTTTTTTAAATTTGTACAGAATGGACTGGGTGAATCAGTGGTAAAACATGTATGGGTGTTCTTATAGAATTGTGTGGTATTATGGAATGAGATATGTTTTATCATGTATACATGTATATTTAGAAAGGTGACGTTTTTTGAGCGTTATGCTGTTTCTGGACGGGGGAATGAAGTCGATGGGGTTGTCAGGCTGGGAGCTGGATGCTAGGCTAGAGGGTAGGTGCGGCGGCGGTTGTTGAGGAGAGTTGGTGCGGCGGGTTTTTGGGAGGAGTTTTCGAGGAGCTTGGCAGGCTGGAAGCTGGAGGGTAGGTGCGGCGGCGGCGGATTTTTGGTGGAAGTTGAATGGAGTTGGGGTTTGAACGAGCAGACTGTAAAAATAAGTTTTTGGCAGCATGTACTTTAGTAAAAATTCTATAAAAATGTATCCTATAATTATTGGTTATTATATTTTATTGAAGATCTTTTTATTTTTTGTTTCCTCTAGAATAATGTATAAAAATCGTACATTTTTGGTAATAGTACCCTAAAGAGTTTTTAAAAAATGCGAAATAAAAAGTTTTGTGATAAGAAAATTTTTTGTGGTTTTTTCAAACAAAATTTTAGTTTAATGATAGATAAGAAATTTTATTATAGAAGAAAACAAGTATGTATGTACATATGTATAGATATAGAATGAAGGAATTAAAAAAAATATACTATGCTAGATGTGTGAACTTGAAAAATTACGTCAGGAGATTACCTATAATTAGAATAGTATTATGCTATGATAAACATGACAGCATATGATTTATATTTGATTAAGATACAATACAATTTAAAGTTTATCAATTGAACAACTCTAAATAAATACAAATGTTTATTGGTTGCACCTTCATTCTATATTGCTATCATAATGCTTTGGATTGAAAAAATTTCACATGGTCAACAGTACTGTATTTGTGATAAAAGGTGGAAATTCATGAAGATTACAATTTTCAAAACATTTTGGGATAATTTAGAAATATTTTCAACACCTGAACATAGAGTGAGGGTTTGTGTATTAAGATTAAGGAACGGTGAATCTGTTTCAGATTCGCAAAGAAAAATTATAGAGAGACTGAACTGGCAGCATGTAAAAATTGAGGTTTCTGGTGGGGATATAATTGTGTCGAGAGAAACACATTATGCCTTGAATGAATCCAATGTTCGTAATAAACCAAAATCTTTTGCAAATAATTGTCCATTTGCAGATGAAAACGATTGGGAAATTATTGAACGCAATATTTCAAATATATTTCCCGATGAATTAAACAAGAAAAATTTATCATCAGAATCTAGGAGAGTGAATGATTTTGAAGAGCAAGATAATCAAAATAAAAAGTTTATATTTAAACAAAAACTTGAAGAAGGTATATTGTATATTTCCTCTATAGAGAATATGTATAATCAAAAGAACAATAAAGCGAAAATTTGGGAGTTGTTATCAAAACTAAGAAAATCTAAACTAAATTAAGTACCTACATGCAAAAGAAATCAATAAATAAAAACAAACAAGTAAAATCAATTATTTGACTATCAATTGTCGAGGTGTTCGTTAAAATAATAAAACAAGAGACATATTTTTGGCTATCACTAGTGCAGCACCTGCGCCGAATATAAGATTTTAATATAGTTGTACCTAAAAATAAAACTATAAAAGTAAATCTATCGGTACAATTCCTCAAGCATGTAGCTGAATATCTTTTGATTCAGATAATTATTTGAAAGCTGACTCAGTTCCGCAATTTGTATCAGTAGAAGAAGCAATCCAAGGATTTAAAAACGATTTAATTGCAAAAGAAGTGGCTATCGGTGGAATAATACAAAGTGCACAAGTCTTCTATAGACATTTCAGATTAGAATAAGGTGAAGATGAAGATATTAAAATACGATGTTCATATGATTCCAACTTTCAAGGAAAAACTTTAAAGCAGTGGTGAGTTAAAGACATATACCGCTTTCAATACTGATTATCAATCTTCAGCAGATACAATATTAGATTTTTTTAATATACTATGCAAATAGAAGAAGTTTTATTAAATTAAATCTGTTTTATTTATTCAAGAATTGTGTCTTGGTGAAAAACCAAGCCATTTTACAAAAACTTTATCATCTTGAGTTTTTACAACTTTTTCTGCTAAATAAATGTCATTATGCTTAGATTTGAGCAACTCATTTTCATAGAAAGCACCTTCAATTGGTTGACTTTTGTAGTCTTCTATTAAGTATGTTACAGGGTTTGTTATCTTCACTTTCCTTATCTTGAATATTTCTGTAGCCCAGTTAGGTGTATAACCTTTTTCGAAAACATGTAACTTGCTTATGCGAACTGAGTCATCAATTTTGAGTTTTCCTCGTTGTGAAATCTTAATGTGGTTTGGTTGTATGCCCTTGACAACAACTCATTAGCATTATTAGAATAATGATTTATTTGATAGTTACTTATTAGCTTTTTAAAAATTTTTTTAAAAAATTCTTTTCCATCATCGGTCTGAAGATTTTTTAGATATCGCTTGACTTCTTTGAAAATTAATTCCAAAGCTTCAGTAATAGCGTCAGAAGTTTTTTTTTTATTGGTATAGCCCAAGCATATTTTGAGAAAGTATCTATCACAGTCAAGAGTTATTTATATCCCCTATTTTCCTTTGCATAAGCTCCCATTTCAACTAAATCAGCTACATTTCAACTAAATCAGATACTTGTAATAACTCTACGTCTTTGAAAATTTCTTTTTGCAGGTTTATGCAACTCTTCAACAACAGCTCTCTTACTCATATTTCTGATTAATAACTAAAAAATATTTTCGTAAGTATTTTCAAAAATCAGGTGTGTTGAGGCGATCAATTAAATCAACAACCTTATCTTAACTCATCCTAAATATAAATAGGATGATAAATTTTTATTATTTTTCAATTCTTTCATATAATCGCATTAGTTTTACAATTCTAATCGCAATAGTGAAGAATATGGGCATATTGTATAATGGAATCTGTAATAGTCTTCTGTAACTACCTGAGAGAAGTCTTTGTATTGCACTAAAAATTCGAAATTATCCTTCAATTCATTATAATGCTCCTCCAATAAAATGTCTTCAAATTTATTTAAAAAAATATTTAATTAATATCCTATTTGTGGTATATCCATGTTGAAGTCGCTGCTGTTAAATGTATACTGATTTATTTTATTTTTTCTTCTTTATAATTTCATTGATTTTTTTAGTAAAATATGTTTCCACGTTTCTTAAGTCGTCTCGTGTTCAACTTAGATTATTTATAATATTTTTTATTTTAGTATTATGTTCTTAGTTTATTTTATTTTCAAACTTTTTATTTTCTGACTCAACCATTCCATAAACTCTTGTTATTTCATTCCTTAGTTGTTGCAATATATCTTCTCTCTGGATAATAATCACTCTATTGATAGTTTCATTTAATGTTTCTATTCCATCATCTACATATTTTTTTAGCATCATATTGTTTTTTAGCATTTACATATTGTAGCAGTATCATTCTTATTTATTGGGCATATTAGGTTTATTAATTGTTTATTTTGAATATAATAATCTCCATCTGAATTTACTTGTAACCCAATTGTTTGAAATTTTTTTTTAGCTTCGTTAAAAGCATATGGATGATTTCGGCTATGTCCGAACTTATCTATTGTCATTATGTTAGTGATAACGTAATTCAAATATTATTCGATTATATGAGCTTCCTTTAGTTCTTCTATTATGGAATTAATTTTATTATTGTGATTGTTATTACCTGCTATTTGCGAAGAAATCAAAAGTCTCAATCTATTAACCAGCTCATTAGGATCATCCCAATAGGTATATTGAACCGGCTGCTTTGAATACGCCATAGATGACGTCTGAGGTTTTATAGTAAATTTTCCTTTTGTTAAAGATTCTCCTATTTTTTTCCCTCTTGTATTATATTCATGAATGTAGAGCTTTTTAATAATATTTTGATATTTAAATCCCTTATTACCCTTAATTTGATCTAATGAATTATAATTTCTCCGATGAGCGTTGGTTTTTTCCAATATTTTTTGATATTGCTTCAAATCATTTTCGGTATAATTTTCAGGTTTCAGTTTAAATATTAGATCATATAAGCCTTCAGTGCCCTTAAAGATCTGCCCATCAATTATTATGTGATTGTTTTCATCATCTATGCTAAATGTTGCGTTACCTAATTTCCTAATTCCTAAATTATGATCAAAATAAGGGCCATAGCTTTTGTCAAGCTGTGATTTCTTATAATTATGTAGAGGTGACAATGATGATGATTCTAACTTATTACTTGTTGAATTTGTAAATGTGATTGTGTTAGGAGTTGATGTTAAAAAACTTTCAAATTCGGATTTCTCCTTCTTTGGTGTTTCTATTTTATTTTCGACGAATGATGTCATATTAAATTTATCAGTACTGTATTCTTCCTGTTTCACTTCCGGTTTTACTTCCGGTTTTATAAATGTGGAGGGAGATTGGTATTTCACAACATTAGTTAAGTCTTCAATAGGCTTAACAATTGGTTTGAATGTATTTTCCAAAATTTCATCATGCATAATTTGACCGGCTTTTAATGATTTGTATTTTATTTTTAAGTCTTTTCTAACTTTAATTAAATCTTTCAATACTTTTTCATTCATGATTATTCAATGAAATCGTTATTAATGATGTTGAACTGATATTGAACTGGTATTGAACTGCAACCGATGTGATCTGGCCTATTGCAGTTGTTGATCTGATCTGTTGCGGTTGTTGATCTGATCTGTTGCGGTTGTTGATCTGATCTGTTGCTATGATATACTGATATGATTAGTTTATAGTTTATTCTTATAACTCACAGATAAATTCTATAAAGTATATATATATGCATATATTATATCTATAACTTGATAAATTCATCAAATTTTCTCCTATAGCGACCAGCATTCAAAACACTATCCTTATCGATAACTAAAAATCCATAGTTGTCTTTCCAGCAGCATGAGCATAATTTTTTAAATTGATCAAAAGACATATCGGTATTAACATGATCATTATAGATATGCTTTAAATTTAAATCATCTTGTTTGAATGCAATTATAAAATTTGCGTTATCCCTTATTAAATGCTTAGGTATCCGAGTATAAGATTGACATAAATAAAAACTATCTACATCTTGATGACGCCCCATGCAAAAATAATTCCTTATAGTATCTTGCTTATCGCAAGCAACATCATCAAATATAAATATCGAATTAGGTTGAGATTCAGCAGGATCAATTACATCTGAGTTATTTGAAAATTCGTTATATCCCATTCCCTTAATAGGATTCATTATCTTTTTCAAGTATTCATATTTTGGTTGATGTAGCGATTTAGAATATATGTATATATTTTGAAATTTAAGTCCATTTGGATCTAATAACATACTCAGCATTACGTTAGTTTTACCGCAATTAGACGGGCCCACAATTAAACCCCTGATACTAACTGGAAACATTGTTCCATGTTTCCTTTTCTTTTTGCTGCTCGATTTTTTATCAAAATTTTTTACTTTTATTGTATCATGCACTTTGATAAACTTCATAACTACTACTGGTTTAACTTAATATAAAATTATTTAATTTATGCTTTTGCAATCATTTGCAATTGATTAACCTTCGAAGAAGGAATAAATTTAAATAAAATTCAATAATCGAATGACGCTCAGTAATAAACATATTGTTGAGAGGAGAGGAGGATTTTTGAATTCTTTGATAAATAAGTTACCATTTGAAGCACATTTACCTGGATACAACTATTGCGGTCCCGGAACGAAATTAAAAAGCGGTTAGATCGTGGCGATAAAGGTATTAATCAATTAGACGAAGCCTGTAAAGAGCATGATATTGCATATTCTCGAAGTAACACTATTGCTGATCGTCATATTGCTGATAATATATTAGCAGAAAAAGCCTGGCAGAGAGTTAAAGCAAAAGATTCAAGTTTTGGTGAACGAGCTAACGCCTGGTTGGTAACAAACGCAATGAAGGTAAAAGTAAAAACTGGAATGGGTTGTAGAAATGGGATAAAAAAGAAGAAACAACCTTTGAGAAAATTAATTCATGAAGCTAAAATTGCTATTAAAGGATATAAACCTGAAAAAGAAAAAGATGCAATAAAAATTGCACTTAAAGCAGCTAAAATATTGGTAAAAATAAGAAATCGATAAAAATTCCACGTATAATTCCAGTTCCTAAAACCAGTGGTATTCTACCATTAATTCCGACATTTGCGGGTCTTTCAGCTGTTGGAGCTCTTGCAGGAGGTGCTGCTGGTATAGCAAAAGTTGTCAACGATGCTAAAAATGCAAAGAAAATGTTAAATGAAAGTGAGCGCCGCAATAAGACTATGGAGGCTATTGCTATTAGAGGAAAAGGTTTACAATTAAAATCATATAAAAAAGGGTTTGGATTATATCTAGCTCCAAAAAACCGCTAAATTTGCTACCCACAAGAGCACTGGCAAATATTGATATAAACGATTTTGGTCGAAAGTATTTACAAAATTTCCGCGGCGTTTTTGTGACAGGTAATCTCCCTGAAATTAAACCATGGAAACGTGAATGTGGTATTATAAATTTAGATGATTCCACAGGCCGAAGGAATCATCATATTTGATAGGTTTTGAAACTTACAACCACCAATTGAAGTTGCGAAATATTTGGGTGATAAAATTTCATATTATATTATAAGAAGTACCAAAAATTTAATACATACAATTGTGGACATTTATGTTTACGCTTTTTATCTAATAAAAAATTTTATGAATAAAATTAATTTGTTGTTGTTATTATTTTTGTATTCATTGCTGCAAAATTTTAAGTTCAAGAAAGAACACGATAAGAAATGAAAAGCAAAAGTAGATCAAGCATTTTTCATATCGTCACCCCAGAGTTATACTGTTGCACAATCCAAATTCAAAAAAATTAATTACGAATTGGACATAGCTGAATTTTTCAAGCTCTTTCAAATGGTGTATTCCACACTTGTCTAAGTATTTTAGTTTTTAGGAATATTAAGTAGCGGTTTTGTCGTAAACGCCGTTAAATATTAAAACTTTTAAGTTATATTGTAGTATCAACTAAATTTTGGTTTATACGACAAAAAGTCCATATAAATATACATAGCTAAAAATTTTTTCACAATTATTTTACGAGTATCGTACTGGTCAAAAATAACAACATGTGACCACAGTCTTTTACTATTATTTTATGGTATAAGCTTAATGCATTTAATATACTGCATAATAACAACGCAAAAAATTTGCAATCATTGTGTAGTACGTGTATTAAGATTCGTATTGATTCTTTGAAAATCTGCTCGCAGTTTTATAAGTGTACTCTGTACCAAATTTGTCCCCACATTTATTTGAGTAAGTTTTTTGTTTTTATAAAAGTAAATTTAAAAATTTTGCATATTAAATAAATGTAGGTGTACATTTTAATAATTTTTATGTAGCAAAAGTAAAAAAAAGTTTCCTTTCTTTTAACTTATTCTTAGCATTATTTTTTTATTATTAACTAGTACGTACTGTCCAAATACATGTTAGTTAAATAACCAAAAAATTTATAACGTGAAAAAAGTTAATAAAAAATGTTTTTTCCAATTTTTGCTACGTAACAATTAATAAAATATTTCATAAAAATAAAACAATTAACGCAATTAATTATACAAAATAATATTCTATGTTGAATTGGTTGATTTTGTTAAAATTTACTATAATGGATTTATTAAGAGGCAATTATGAAATCAGAATTAGGTATGTAATTTTGATTTTTGAAAAAATAACAAGAAAATTATGTAGTTTATGCAATTTTAGATGGAGATTTTGACAGTGACGATTTTGTGCGAGAACCAGATAAAAAATTTTTTAAAAATTACTCAATTGACAACAACTTGTAAGAGACAGCTTCATATTAAAAATTGGAAGCGAATAAGGGAAAGTACTCGTATATATAACATTTATTAAACATTTATACATAAATGTTCAAGAAAAAAAATTAAAATCTCCTTGCCAATCTACGTGTTCTATCTTTACACTTTTAAAGATGACTACAGTAACAAAATATTCTAAACTTTTTGGCAGTTGGACGATGAAAAGAAAAATAGTTTCAATAGTACTCATTAAAAAAAGAAGTAACAAGACGACGAAAAAGGATTCTAATAAAAAACAAAACAGTTTTCTATATTTCTTGAAAAAACAACACAAGCACCAGGTATGTCAGGTAGCAAATAATAAAATCAGGTAATATTTTTATAGTTTTAAAATAATATGTATCAGTATTGCAAGCACAAAATAACACATTGTTTAAAAAAAGATTAAGCATTTACTTCTTAAGGAAGGTCTTGTTTATTATAAGAATATATTATAAAATAATATGCTAAGACTTTACTTAACAAAATGTAATAAAAAGGCTCAAATTTAATTATAAGATGTTAATTTTTATTTTGAAATAGAATTGAGACCTATTATATTATAAAGAATATGTAACAAACTATAAAACTTTATTTTGTAAAATGAAAGCTATTAAAAAAAAAACTATTTTATTAATCTAAAATAATAAAATGATTAATAATTTAAACTTCATATTATGTTTCCTATAATTTTCAGGATTATGTTGTCGTATGGCAAT